GACCATGCTAAATGCTTTACTTCTTTTTACTCTCAATTCTTGTAACAACTCACAATATAGATACTGTGATCCCTATTTTAGGGGTCTAGAAACTGAGACCAGAAAAGCTAAATAAATTTTCCAAGATCACAAGGTCTGTAAGAACCAGACTGTCATACTTAATCCATGTGTCTTTTTTAAGAATAACAGATGTATAGAAAAAGCCCAAAGCAAGCAGGTCCCAAAGGACTGTGCGAGGGGCCTTTTTATCAGCAAGCTCCCACCTCCATGCAGCATTGCTGTTATCCCTGGGTAGAAACCCTTTTAGAGGAGTCACACAGGTTTCAGGTGAGTCCAGCAGTCTTGCTTTCCAGACGAAAAGGAACAAAATAGAGAACTAAAAGATGAAACCATCACCTCTCCTCCTCCTAAGATTTCCACTTCCTTTACCCATTTCCACTCAAGAGCCCATGCAGATATGCCTCTAAGGCCCTTCTCCCACAAAGGTTCTGGGGAAAGGGCCAGGGGTCCTCAGAAACACCTAATATAGCACATCTCTCCAATAATTTTATCTGAAGATGCCAGAACCCACATTAAAAATTACAAGAAATAATAAAGTAAGTACAGTTTGGAACAAAAGAAAGCTAAGTTTACATGACAAACGGACTGGAGTCCATGAAGAAATGTCTTGCTTCAGGCTGGACCCATGTCTCCGCAGCCTAAAGCCATTTGTCTGAAACCTTGAGAAGCAGTAAAACTGTCAACTCAGAAAACATCATACTGAACAGTGGAAAATGTGATGCTCTGCTCTAACTATAAGGAAATTATGCAAATTGTCATAGCAAAAAGAAACTCTCTGGAGAAACAATCTGCAAGTAGCAACTAGCTAATGAGATTATGGTTGCAATTTATTCAAAACACGTCCAACATCACTAGAACTTGAGCTGGATAACCACCATTGGGCTTTAGCTTAACTTGGAGGAAAAAGAGTTAAGTGACTCAAAATCAGTGACTAATTACATTTCCTTCACAAAGAAGATATTGTGCGATGAGTATACAGCTAGGACATACAAAGCTGAAAAGAGACTTCTTATTCTACTTTACTTTATTTAGACCCTTATCCGTGCACCTGTCATCCACAAAAAAGACAGGTCACAGTAATCATCAAAAATAACATTTATATAACACTTTATTTACATATCACATTTCATCGTTATTCATTTAATCCTCAGTCAATGGAAGAGGCCAGTAACATTATTGTCCTAACCTAAAGTCAGGAAATGTGCTAGTGAATCTTAAGAGTAGAATTTTAGAGAAAGGGCATTCTGCCCTGCCTCCTCATTTCACCAACTAAGTCTGTTAAATAACCCATCCAAGGTCATGTCACTGAATCTGTACCCAAGTCTCCTGGCTCTTCCCACTACAGTGCACTGACTGCCTCTGGAGCACCTGAAAGTACCCAAAACAGAGGAGGGAGCAGAGACCCAGGAGTGTGAGAGACCTGGCCTAGAATCCCAGCTCCACACCACCAATGGCCATATAACTTGCCTGCTTCATCAGTAATCGTAACGACCCTCCAGAGTCATTGTAAGCATGAAATTAGATTAAATGCAAAAATCATCCTATATAATAAAAGCCCAGGACCATAACGGCGTAAAACCAGAATGACCACTCAACCAGTCACTATGAGGTACACTGACCACCTCTCAGTCCCTTCCCCCCCCACCCCCCCGGCCCACAGGCTCCGATCCCTGGGGTGGGTTGCAGCGGGGAGGGACTGGGGACTGGTGAGGGGAACCAGGTGGGTGGCGGCGGTGGGGCGGGACTGGGGACTGGTGAGCAGGCGGAAGATGGCCCTGATCGCAGGCTAGCTCTAGGGACCCTACCCGCGCACTTTTTCGTGCACTGGGCCTCTAGTTTGCTCATAATAAGGAGGTGAAGTTCCTGGGTTCCTGGAAAACATGACAAAGGCACTGTCACAGTTGAAGTGAACTTCTGAGCTGCAGACTATGCATCTGAGCTGATCACAACTGGTCTGGGCTGGGAGGGTGCTTTTTCTCTGCATGAGCACTTTACTTCTGAACCAATGCCAGGAACTTTCATTTTGCAGTTCTTGAACTGAAAATTTTTATTCACCATTTTTTGTGACCCACCCAAAGAAATGCCAAAACAATAACAGCAATAGCTAATCCTTACATAACTCCTACTTATGTGCCAGAAACTGTTCTGTGTACTTCAGATGTATGTAATCCTCATAAAAACCCTGTAAGACAATTCAAAGGTAACGGAGTCAATAAAATCTGAGGTTTTAAAATATATATTTAGATCAACATCAATATTAGTTCATCACCATATATCTGGCCCTAAGAAATACTCGGAAGTTTGGATTGGATTTAAATAAGAGGGTGAATGGTACCCACTTTAATTCAATTCAAGGCAATCTTTCGATGTTTCTCCCACTCTGCTGCCTGCTAGAAATATCACTGTTCATTTTGTGGATGAAACTCCGTAGTATTGATTTAAAAATGCTTTCTTATGAAAAATGTCAAACATATACAAAATTTCAATAACATAATGGATGCCCATGTACCCATTTCCCAGCTTCAACAAATTACCAGCTTCAACAAACCCTCACTTTTTAATGGCTTTTTCTTACCCCTCCCCCATAATCTTTGGTGAAGTCTTTTTAACAGGTCATATGCACAGACATAAACAGTCACAGTGGGAAGCCTGATTCTGAACCGCCGTCCTGCCACCCTCTGCTACAAAACAGTCCAACTGTCTGTTTTTAAAAGTTTTACTCCTTTGCCCAGCCGGTGTGGCCCAGTGGTTGAGCGTCAACCTATGAACCAGGAGGTCACGGTTTGATTCCCAGGCATGGTTAGTGTTAAGTTTGATTGAGCAACTGAATTGATACCCCTCCCCCAGGAACTGGCATTTCAGATCATTGCACTATGGACAGTCCCTTTGCTGAAGACATTTCACTTGTCTTTGCCCAGAAAAAGCCCCTTTAAAAGCCGCTGACTCATCACTGGGTGCTGGAGTCATCCAGGCTCAGCCACCTGGTGTGAGGATGATTGAATAAATGAATAAATTCATAATCCCTTACCACTCTGACCTCCTGTGTTCCTCCTTCAGGACCTAACAGTCAGAGCACATGCCCAGGTTGTGGGTTCCATCCTCAGAGGGGGGCCTGCTGGAAGCAGCTGATCAATGATTCTCTCTCACCTTTGATGTTTCCATCTCTCTCTCCCTCTCCCTTCCTCTCTGAAATATATATATATATAAATATATAAACTATATATTTATATATATAAATTATTATATATATATTTTTATATATAAATTATATATATATATATATATATATATATAAATTTTACTCTTTTTAGTAAAGTCTGTTCCCCAGCATAGAACATCACCCTATTCATTTTCTTCTTCCTGGCTGGACTCTGTATGTGGTCCAGAAAGTGTGTGGAGTTTCAAACATCCAAGCGACAGTTGATAGAAATAAAAATTTCACCAGAGAAGATTAAAGTTAAAGGAATTTAAGAGGCACTTAAAGTCCAAATCTTTTTCTTGGCAGAAGAAGAAAACTGAGGCCCATGCTCTGAACTGTTCAAGGTCCAAGAAATACAAGCAAGAAAGGAAGGCAAGGATGTGTAGAAAATGAGTTTCTAATGCCTTTCCACCCTCTCTACTCCTTTCCTACCACTTCTAAACGGCTGGAACATCGGCTGGATCATCCTTCCCAGGTCCCCCCAGGGAGCATTAACCTGCCACAGAAGCATTTTTCCATCTCTTTTATCTCACTTAACACCTACTTCTTGAAGGCAAAACAAAGCCCGTCTTCAACACCCCCTACACACACACACACACACACACACACACACACACACACACACACACACGGCTTGGGAAAGTACCTGACTGATACCTGGTAGCCACTCACGTATTTACCGGCTCAGAACAAAGCTCCCCAGGGCTGAGTTCTCCCTTGTCCATTTCCCATCAACAGGACTCCAAGCCTAGCAGGCTTCCTATCTTACCCTTTCTCCCTACAATCTCTGGCCGCCCACTTCTTACGAAGTGAAGAATGTAGTATAAAGAACACGGAACGGCCCTAGCTGATTTGGCTCAATGGATGGAGCCTCAGCCTGCGGACTGAAGGGTCCCGGGTTCGATTCTGGCCAGGGGCACATGCCTGGGTTGCGGGCTCGATCCTCAGTAGGGGGCGTGCAGGAGGCAGCCGATCGGTGATTCTCTCTCATCATTGATGTTCCTATCTCTCTCTCCCTTTCCCTTTAAAATCAATAAAATATGTATTTTTTTATGAAGAACACGGAACGGGGATTGGGAAAACTGAGCTAGTGTCCTGGCCGCTACATCTGTTCTGTGTGACCTTGGACACATCTCCCTTTGCCAGGGGCTCCTATACCCATGTGTAAAATAAGCAGGTTGAACTAAGCCTCCATGATCTTGCCCCTCCGCGGCCCCTACCCCAGTGCCAAGCTGGCCTCCGCCTCTCCCTCCCACAGTCCCCACAGCCCCGGTTAGGTCCGCTCCGCTCCCCGGGCAACTCCCGCGCCTGGGCACAGCATCTTTACCTCCCACTCCCAGGTTGACCTTGCGGGGGTCCGGATCCTCCCGGAAGTCGGCAGTGAGCTTAAAGACCAGGACCGGCGGGGCCTGCGGAACCTCAGCAAACACTGACGGAGGTGCCATGGCGAGAGAGCTGGAGTCCGTGAGGCTGGAGCCGCTCGGTCTGGTTCAGCCGCGCCGGCTGGAGGAGACTCTCACCTTCAACTAGCCAGCGGGGCGGGCCCGCGGCCTCCAATGGTCGAGCCGCGTCCGGAGCTTGGCAACGGGGTTAGCCAATCGCCAGCTTCTGACGCACAAGACGTTATTAGCCAATCCAAGAAGAGAATCTGATAGGCGGCATAATACCACCAATGCAATGGACTACGTCTGAGCTGGGGGCGTGGCGTATATTGATTGGCAGAGCGTGGTCCTATCGCTGAGGCCATTTTCCGGGCGTCCGAGGACGGTGGGGCGGAGCCGAGCGACCAGAGCGTCCCGGAGGCTTCGTCATCGACCTTCGGGGGATCACCAGGTATCTGAGCGGTGGCCGGCGGGAGTTACGGCGGAGGGGCCTTCCGGTACCGGTACACGCACGTTCCTGACCCGGCCTGACCTGGCCCCGACTGGTAGCCAAGTCCCCGGGTCTGCGCTCGGGACGCCAGTCCTCGGGCCAGGACGTGCAGCTCCAGAACCCGCGCGGGCGACCTTGACCATCTCCAGAGGGAAATGGGGGTGGGCCGCGCGCCTTGGTCTCAGGCCGGGGACATCCTACTAAGAGAGAGAGGGGGAGAGACCGGGAGTTCCTTTCTGCCGCTCTTGCAGTTGGAGATGGTTGTTTCCCTTTCCTTGCAGAGAAGCCTGGTCCTAAAGGACCTTCGGGGTCTGGGCGCCGCTCCTGTCCTGCTTTCCTCCCCGGCACGGACTCAGCCCGATCTTGTGTCCTCCGCTGGCTGGCCCCCAGGCTGCCTCTTCTCTCAGGCAGGCTGTTCCTTCCCTCAGTATTCCTCCTCCTCCTCCCCGCTCCCCCACCCCCAACCTTGTGACCTTCAAGACGCGGAGTAAATGCCTCCTCCGGAAAGTCTTCCCTTAATCCTCACTCTAGTCAAATCCGCCTCTTTCCTTTGCGTCTGACGTACCTTGGGAGCAGTATTACCATTTTAGAAAATGCCCTCGTTAAGAACCCACGTCCTAGCTTAGATTCTGGTTCTGCCACTTGCTAACTTGTGCAGGATTAGGCAAGTTACTCGACCTCTCTGTTCTTGCTCGGTAAAGGGGAGGTGATAGTATTTTCCCCCGGGGATTATGTGAGTTCATACTTACGAAGTAGGTGGGGGTTTTTTGCATCTAGTGAGCACTCCCTACGTGTTAGCTTTTGTTGTCATTGCTCATCTGCCACACCCCGTGTAGGTGGGTGGCTTCTTTGGCCAGAGAGCTCATCCTGTGTAAGTCGCCCTCCGTTTCTTGCACTTAGTCGGTGTGCAGTAAAGGGTGGAAGGAGGCCACCGTTCTCTTGGTGGGTCCGACGAAAACCGTACCTCAGCCTCTGTTCATTGAGTGATACAACAAATCTCCAAATGAATTTTCCACTCAAAGTAATGAACACAAGCCAAGAGAACCTGGAGCAACACTTGCCAACCTTGGGTGGCCTCTGCTTCTTTTCAGAAACACTGCCTTTGGTTTTAAAGGTAACCGCACACAGTGTCTCATGAACAACACCTTCCTCTCAGGTTGCAAGTTTAAAGGTGAAATGACAATGAACTTTCGGTGCTGCCAAAGGCACTGGCAGAAGGCAGCTGCCAAGAGGCGTGTTTTATGGCCCGGCCTCCCCAGAGTCCGATTAGAGGCACGATCTTCACAGTGTTGGCCAACAATATGGTCATTCCTTACGTCATTCCCTAGGGGAAGAACAACCTGGGGTTAGCTAAACACTATCAGCGTAGCTAAGTCCAAATAAATATTTATCGATAACCTAAGCAGCTCCATAACCAAGTCCGTGCTGATAGGGGCAAAGAAAGTGCCATAGGCATGCAGTTTTTCTCATGTCTGCACGATCTCGGTTGTGAATTTTCAGAAAGGGCAAGCAGTTACTAGGTGGATGGGTGGGGGGAGAGGGGCTGGAGACAACATATGTGGGATCCAAGTCTCAAACATTTTTCCTTAGGAATATGAGGTTCTTGGACATTAAGTTCAGTGCCCTTCTGCCCTGAGCCCTGCAGGCTGCCCCTCTAAGTAAAATGCCAATCTTGGAATAAACAAAATGCTTTCCAGGCCATTGCTAATTATAACACTTTGACTTAGAATTGATGCAACACTGCCTGGCTGCTGAATGGATAATTCAAGTCAAAGACTCTTTAGAGGCCAACACTGCCCAGACAAGTAGGCAGCCAGGTAAAGTGAGTGTCCGGGGAAAGGGCAATGAAAGCCAAAAGAAAGATGTTTAGCTAACCTGAGGTTGTTCTTCCCACAGGGAATGATATAAGGAGTGGCCATACTGTTGGCCAACACTGTGAATATCATACCTCTAAATCAATGATTCTTAAGCATTTAAGCAACCTCCCTACCATCCCCTTCTGCTTCCCCATCCCCTCAGCCCCTAGTTTCTTCAGAATTGTAAGAGAAGATCTGGGAACAGCTTCATCTGGAATGAATCCCTTTAGAATATACTCTCTTGGAAATCTGAAGCGTTCAGGGCCCAGAGCATAAGAGGCAGGCGAGGCCAGGGCAGCAGTGAGTACTGCATGGACCTCTAAGCAAACTACACACCTGCTTATTGTATTCAATCTTGCCCCTGATGCCCAGAGGTCTAAATTTAGAAACAAGTCAGGGGAAGGAGGAGTTAGTCACATTTTACATTCAGTTACAAAGTGGTTTGAAATGGTTATATTTAGGTATATGCTGTCACTGAGAGTAGGGTATTATTTAGCAGCTGAGCGCATATTTCTTTACAAACCAAAACTGTAGCTTCTGGTCCCAGGTGCTTCGTGCAGATATAGCCAAGTCCCAGAACCACACCACACACAATTAGTCCCAAAAATGGCACAGAAATGCTATCAAGAAACCCCAGTCACAAAGACGAATCTCCTGAGGGGGTAGACCCCAAGTTCCTGAGGAACATATGCTTCACCAAGAAGCACAATAAGAAGAGCCTGAAGAAGATGCAGGCCAACAACGCCAAGACCATGAATGCATGTGCCAAGGCTGTTAAGTCTCCCAAGCCTAAGGAGGTCAGGCCAAGATCCCAAAGGGTGGCATTTGCCTTTGAGATGTATTTACTTTGTTCATTGAATGATGAGCTGCATAGCAGAACAATGCAATCCTTGTTTTGCCTCTTACTAGTTTTGAAACTTTGAGTCAATTACTTAATGTGTCTGAATTTTAATATTCTTAACTGTAAATTGGGGCAAAAAGATTTTGCTTAGTGTTGACATACATACGCCTTACCACAGTTTTAGAAATTATCATTGCCATATGATACACTTTAGTCCCTGAATAGCTGTAGGATAATGACTTAGCTAACTCTCTTTGAAGTCTTTTTGCTCTGGCCTCTCTCTTGCAGGCATATACTCTGGAATTTTTTTAAAATGAAAAAGAAAGCAGGAAATAATTTTTAAAATATTTCGAGTTCTTTAAGAAATCTTGTAGTGAGCAGTAGAAATCTCAAAGCAATTTAAAGGTAGTAAGACAACATATTTAATAAGTTTAAGCAATGTTAATAATAACTTTGTATTTCTATATTACCTTTTTTGAAGAATAGAAAGTGTTTTAGAAACACTATTCCTCTATTCTTTCAACATCCCTAGGTGACTGTCATTATGTGCAGTTGAAACAAAAAGAAACTGGATTGACTTAACAGAAAGCAAATGAAGACATTCAAATGACAAAAGAACTTCAAAGCTACAGACCTTAATTAAAGTCAGAGGAAAATTTCCTCTCCTTGTCCTGTTTCTCCCTAAATGCATCACTAATACAGCCTCTTACTTCTAGAGTAATGTGTTAGCATTTTTCCCCAAATTGTGATGTCCTTTTTATTGAGCCATACGCTTTTATACAAGATGGACATAGATGAAAAGATAATGAAGGAAATAAATTCAATGTGTTTGCTAAGAACATGTTTATTTTAGACTAAAGCAATATACTATAATAGATTGTCTTAATCTATTCCACATAGCTAGCAGGAAAATAGAAGTACATTGTTAACATTTCAACATCCAACAGTAGAGGGCAGCACTGCCCATCTTTTGCAAAATACAGGGTATGGCAAAAGTGACTTTACAGTTCTTTGGAAAATAATATAATGAATTAATAAATAATAATACAAGAGTAAATTCTGTGTTTCGTAAGCCTACTTCTGCCTCAACATGTATTGAGTGCTCATAAAAAGGAAAATAAAAGCAAAGCTCTGGTCATTGTATCTGTGTTTACTTTTACCTAATACTTTTCATAAAGTAAAAAGTATTTTTCTCTTTTATTAATTTATTGATTTATTGGTTTTAGAGAGAAAGGGAGGAGAAAGCAAGAGGTTTATGCATTCATTGGTTGATTCCTGTATGTGATTGAACTCGAAACCTTGGTGTAACAGGATGACACTCTAACCAACTGAGCTATTAACCAACTGAGCTATTCGGCCAGGGCCAAAGTATTTTTCTTATTGTTTAGGTGATTACATAGAAAGAATGTCAGAGCCTGTATAGCCTTGAAGTAACTGGTGGAAAACGCAGAAGGTTTTAGGTTCTCTGCTCAGGATATGGGTTCCGTCTGGCAAAGATAAACAGTAGCTTGACCCTGGACAATCAGATAGGGTTATTGTTATGAACAGACCAAATGCTCCTGTGCTTTCTGGGTAGGAGTCAGTCTACTGAACTAGCAGGATGTGGTTTAAAAATGTGTATAACTCATGTGGTGTGAGCGCTGATAACTGCTTTTAAATTAAAATTCACTGACTATTGTGTTGTCTGTGTTAGTTTTCCTCTCAACACCTGAGTCAGATCAGACCTATCTTCACGATACCACGTCTTATTACTTTAAGAATAATGTCAGACATGATGGGTAGGAATGTCTTTCATGGGATTGCAGTCGGTTGAATGGCTGTGTGTATATATACACAGGTGAAATTGAAACCTTGTATGCTAATCCTCATGCTATTGCTGTATGATTTCTCTATCCAGTAAGAAGCAAGAACAAATCTGTTATTTTGTACTAAAAGTCACATGATGCTCTTGAGCAGGATGACTGAGAAGAGAGAATAATCCTAATCTAGCACACAGTATCCCTAGTACATTTGGACTCTGCTCTAACCCTCAAAACATTTTTGGCAACACTTCTTCAGTGCCCATCTAAATAAATCCCACCAGGAGTAAGAGCTGGAAGACACTTGAGTCTAGTTCCCAGCTCTGCCTTGTGAACTTGGAAAAATTACAACCACTGAACCTTTGTTTTCTCTCTCCTAAATATAGATAACACCTCCCACATCTAGAAAAGGTCAATTTGGAAAACATATTAAAATGCCTTAAAAGCCATGTAAGTACCTAACATATTTCTATCACTGTAGCTCAGAAATGCCTGCCTAACCCATAAGACTCTGTGTTTCTTCTTCTCATTTAGTATCATTATATTGCCTGAGATTGTTCATTTCCATGTGTTCTGAACTTTTGCCATAGACTTTATTGTTTGTTCCTTGTGAACTGAAACCATCAATTATATTTCCTGGTATCTTTCACAGCAACAAGATATTCCCATGCAGAATTAACTTTTTTATTTAATTATGGTAAAAAATAAAAAATTGCTATCATACACATTATAAAGTGTATAGCACAGGAGTAATAACTATATGAACATTGTTGTACAATGATCTCTAGAACTTTGTCATCTGTAATTAATTCTTAACTATCTTCTGCATCACCATTTCCAAAGCATTTATTTTATTGATTGGGCACAAACAGGAAAAAGATATAGGACTTTCACTCTGTAGCTAGGGTTCTCTGGAACAAGGTCATCAAAGATTTCCATTCTAGTCTAAATTCTACCCCCTTTTAAAGAGATTCTGCCCTAGTCTCTCTAACCTGTAAATCAGCCATTTTCTATAAACCTGGGAATATATACCAGAAAGGTGCCTCCATAAAGTGCTTTCAATGAATTATTTATGTCTAGCATATAATTAAACATTTACATGAAGGAAACTGTCATGTTAAAATATAAACTCACTTGCCAATTTGATTTTCAGAATTTTGTTTACTGAAGATAAGTACTCTTTAATTATTATTGCTATAATAGTAGCATTTTTATTTAGCTGGTATGTGTGAGGACTGGGACTGGTATATGGAAGGAAACTCCCAGGAGAAGACCTTGCTTTAGCTATAGATACATGTGCTTCTAGAACTCTCTCAGGATAGCATGACCATATTTAACTCACAATATGTGCTTTTAGAAACAGTGTACCCTTTCTAGCACAGAATTTCATCTAATGTTGTGATTGTCAATTATGTCAAATTTATTTGGGATAAGAAATTTGATTTTCTTCTTTGTATCAAACCTAAAAAGAAACTCTAGATAGATTTAAGATGTAAATATTTTAAACTACAAACAAAATAGGGAAAATAAAGGAGATTTTGAAATATTACTAAAATAGACTCTCCCAATCATGACACAATCTCAAAAGCCATAAAGAAAAAAAATGAGCCCTACCTGGTTTGGCTCAGTGGATAGAGCGTCAGCCTGTGGACCGAAAGGGTCCCAGGTTCGATTCCAGTCAAGGGCATGTACCTTGGTTGCGGGCACATCCCCAGTGGGAGGTGTACAGGAGGCAGCTGATTGGTGTTTCTCTTTCATCGATGTTTCTAACTCTCTATCCCTCTTCCTTCCTCTCTATAAAAAATCAATAAAATATTTTTTTAAATGACTTTGTATGATGATATACACCATAAATAAAAATATGATGACTTGGAAAAGATATTTACAGCATACTTCTCAGACACATCCTATATAATAATCCTATATAATAAAAGGCTAATATGCAAATCGACCGAACAGTGGAATGACTGGTTGCTATGATGTGCAGTGGCCACCAGGGGGCAGATGCTCAATGCAGGAGCTGCCCCTGGTGGGTAGTGTGCTCCCACGGGGGAGCGCTGCTCAGCGAGTAGCCGGGCTCACGGCTGGCAAATGCAATGGTGGTGGCAGAAGCCTCTCCCGCTTCCACAGCAGTTGGACATCCCCCGAGGGCTCCGGACTGTGAGAGGGCACAGGCTGGGCTGAGGGGTTCCTCTTCAAGTGCACAAATTTCATGCACTGGGCCTCTAGTCTATTATATATTCAGAGCATTTTATTGATAGAAAGATAATCTAAGGATATGAAGAAATCAGGAAAGAATAAATACAAGTGGTCAATAAACATATTAAAATTCATCCTCATTATTAAATTAAATCCACATTAATTTATCCATTTTGCTCATAAGATTGACAAAAATTAAAAATATTGATAAATTAATGTTATTGAGAATGCAGGGGGAAAGGCAGTTTCATGCACTGTTGGTGAGATGTCAATTGATAAAACCTTTTCAGAGCGCATTTTGGCAATATCAGCCAAAAAGTGCAGATACCAGCCAATCTCTCCTCCAGGGGTTTATCCTAAAGAAATTTATGCAAGTTTACAGAAAAAGATAGATATAGAGTTAATACAGTTACGCTTTGCAGCATTGCTTTAGTAGAAAAATAATAAACAATGACATACTTTCCAACAGATGTGTTATTTATAACCTAAAATCAAGTTTTTATTGAAAAATAACAGATTTGAAAGAGCCTTCACAAGAATACAAAATTGAGACAGTCTAACAATTATAATTATGTGGAGTAGAGGGGGAAAGTAGTTCTTCAAAGCACTACAGATGTAGTACTTTAAAACTTCAGAAGTCATGAGAAACTATTTTGATAAAGAATAATGTAGTGTGCTACAGTTTAGAACAGCTCTCGAAATTGAGGGACCTATTGAAAATTACTTGATAATAAAATAGTGATTTTTAAAAAATATATAAATTCTAAAACACTGTATCCAGAATCTAAAACAGTTTCTGATATCTAGTAAATCTCAATAAATATTGGCTGGAAAAATAAATGAAGATGATATCTTGATCTGGTTTGTTATAAAAATTGATGCAAAACTGCCTGAATATTAGCACTTGATACATAGCAAATGTTCAGTAGTTCACTACTTTCCTGGGGGCCTGTCTACCACATTATAGGAGTTTGTTTATTTAAAACCATGTATATAGTGCTTATTACAGGTACTGTTCTAAGTGCTTTATAAACAGCAAATCGTTCAAATTATAATCACCACGGAAGTACATGGTCTTCTTATCCCACTTAACAGATGAGGCAATTGAGGAAAAAGCAAATTGTCTGAGATGGCACAGCTAGACAATGGTGATCCTTGCTCCACTGTGCCATGTTGCCTCTACTGTGACAAAAATGTATTGAATGAAAGAATGGATGAGATTTTATTGTTTTCATATTGTGATTTTTTTTTCCCCCAGAGGACTCAGAATATTTTCTTTTAAATCATAGCTAAAAATCACAACTTCCCTTTTGGAGTAGGGCATATTTTTTAAACATTTTAAATGTATTACTAGTTAGTTAATCATGTTTAAAAAAAAAAAAGATCAAGAGAGGTACTTGTTCCTGTGATGAAGTCACTGTATTTGCTTTCTGACATCATATTAATTTCCATACAACAGTTCCAAGTTCTGAACAGAGAAACATCCTGCTCTAGAAGTAGAAGAGGCATAAGGGCTTACAGGGAATTACAAAACAATGTCAAAATTATTGAATGGGGTAAGGTATTGTGTATGGCTTTAACCTTCCACATGACTAAAGCAGTGGATCTCTAACTTTTCCAATCAGGGATCTTTCTAATGTAAGCTAAGCTTTGTAGACTTCTTGAGTTATTTTTTAGTTTTTGTTTTAATTTTAGTTCTAACCTTAGTTTAACTTCATCTTATAACAAAAAACTAGTGTTTCTTTTTCTTCATGATTTATTCATTCATTTGATTAATATTTATTGACAATCTACTATGTGCCAGGCATTGCACTAGGAGTTAAGGATAACATGGTGAACAAAAAGAAAAAGTCCCTATCCTCACAATTAATGAGGAGACAGTAAGAGCATTGAATAAGCAGAATTACTAAAATTACAGCCATGGTAAGTGCTCCATATCTTTCACATCTAATTCCTACTCCAGCAGCACATCTTAGATCCTACACCTTGCACATATTTTCAATTTCTGGAATCCATATTGGCAACCAATGTTTTTGAGAGAAAACATCCCATCTTCTATAATAATAAAAGCATAATATGCAAATCAACTGAACAGCAGAACGACCGTCCAGAGGACCACACTATGACACGCACTGGTGCCAGGCCAGCCAAGGCGGGTGTGATGCGATTGGTGGGGGGGCCCCACCATCACCCCATGATCGCCCTGCAGAAGGAGGCCCAGGCCACCAGCTGGCAGGGCAGTCAATTGGGGGGCTCCGTGATCACCCCAAAGAGGGAGGCCCAGGCCACTGACCAGCGGGCTGCAGCAGGTGAGCAGGGCCTCCCTCTATGGGGCAATGGATCGCGGGACTCCCGGACTGCAGGCCAGGCTGAGGGACCCCCCACCCTGAGTGCACAAATTTCGTACACCGGGCCTCTAGTTAAAAATAATGCCGTCCCTGGTTAGACTGAAAATAATGCCTTTATTATTGTATTATTGCTTCTAGCTCTTTTTTTCTAAAAAATAAAAGCAAATACATCGTTTTTAAAAGTCTAATTTCCATTAGTAAAATATAAGTATTTTTATCTTTGTGATTCAGTTGAGAAACGTGAAGCAAGTAAGAAATTTACTCTTGAGAGTAATAGGTTTATTAAGTTAAAGAAACAAGTATTGCCAAAACCGGTTTGGCTCAGTGGATAGAGCGTCGGCCTGCGGACTGAAAGGTCCCAGGTTCGATTCCGGTCAAGGGCATGTACCTGGGTTGCGGGCACATCCCCAGTAGGAGATGTGCAGGAGGCAGCTGATCGATGTTTCTCTCTCATCGATGTTTCTAACTCTCTATCTCTCTCCCTTCCTCTCTGTAAAAAATCAATAAAATATATTTAAAAAAAAAAGAAAGAAACAAGTATCAAGAGAAGGAAGGATCAGAAACATTTATTTATATATTTATTATTCCTGTCCTACATAGGACAAAAATCTCTAAAGGCTAAAAAGAAAACTGACGACAGGCACTGTCCAAGGAGAACAGCCCTGTTATACAGGGTGAATAGATATTGCCAAGAGATTTACAGCATCTTATGTCTGATGAACACGAGAACCAGTGCAGGGCTGCAAAGTCTCCTCTGGAAGACCATTGACCCAAGAGAGTAAACGGTAGGCAGAGACAAGTCAAGTTCAGAGTTGGGTCTTCTGGTTCCCCGGGGGAGGATTGGGCTGTAACTGAGGTATGAAAGGCCTCAGTGGAATGAGCACTAAAGGCCCCATAAGGCCGAAACCGGTTTGGCTCAGTGGATAGAGCGTCGGCCGGCGGACTGAAGGGTCCCAGGTTCGATTCCAGTCAAGGGCATGTATCTGGGTTGCGGGCACATCCCCAGTAGGAGATGTGCAGGAGGCAGCTGATCGATGTTTCTCTCTCATCGATGTTTCTAACTCTCTATCTCTCTCCCTTCCTGTCTGTAAAAAATCAATAAAATATATATTTAAAAAAAAAAAAAAAAAGGCCCCATAAGCTCCCATCAGGATTCCCCCAAAGGCAAAGTTACTGGTATAGTCAGAGACAAGAAACAGTATTGGGCAAGCTCCAGAATTACAGATAGTGTGACAGCCAATAGGGTTAGAATCCTTCTAGAGACATATACAGGATGCACCCCTATGATGTCCAGTTTCTTCCATTGGAGTGGATTCTTCATTGTATTTAGTTCACTATTTTTTATCCAGGTGCTTTCTAATCAGAGCATGGTCCTCAGACCAGCAGCATCAGTATCACCTATGTGCTTGTTAGAAGTACAAAATTTCAGGTCCCACCCTAGGCCTACTAAGTCAGCATCTGCATTTAAAGGAGATCCCCAGATTTTTCCTAAGCACATTAAAATTGAGAAGCATCATTTTGCCCCCATCAGCTTCTGAGATTATAAAATAGATAAGGTCATTTCTGACTCAACTTGCTCAGAGCTTTGAAGATACCCTGAGATTTTTTTAAAAGGAAAGCATTTTCAAGAGAGAAAATTGCTACACAACTATTAAACATCAAATTTCTTTTCACCTGGGCAACTTGATTTACTTAAGCTATTTTCAGAGTAGACAATCAGTGACTGTTTAACTGACTCAGTCTATAATTGCTGTCCTATCTTAAAATGCTCTAAAGCTCTGTTCTGTTTTGTTTAATGTATAAATCAATGATTCTGAATCTTTGCTGCACATTAGAATTTTCATATTTTTTTCTGACAACCGAAGCCTAAGCCCTTTCCCAAAGATTCTGATTCAGGAGGTTTGGGGTGCAGCTTGGACATATGTAATTTTTTAAAGTTCCTTGGGTGATTCTAATGTTCTGCTGGAGTTGAGAACCATTGAGAGAGCTGAATTGAGAGATGAACAGAATTAGACATACTATACAATAAACAAATGTAGAAGTGACAATAAAACCAAAAAATGGCTTGAGCTTTGCCTTTGATGTTGAAATTTTGCATTCAGGAATCTGTCCTATAAGAATATGTGTACAAAGATATATGTGCACAGAGGCTCATTGCAACATTGTTTGTAATAACAAATATTTTGGAAACAATTTTAATAGCACCAATTAGTGAGTGTTTCATCCCTATAATTCAATACTGTGCTAATGTTAAAATGAATGAGGAAGACACATCTACTGCCATGAAAATATATCCAAAATATATACTATTAAGTTTTTAAAACTTACATAACAATATGTGATATATAATCTCATGTGAAAAGATAAGTATCCTATATAATAAAAGGGTAATATGCAAATTGACCCTAACAGCAGAGCAACTGGGAATGACTGGTCACTATGACACACACTGACCACTAGGGGGCAGAAGCTCAATGCAGGAGCTGCCCCCTGGTGGTCAGTGTGCTCCCACAGGGGGAGCTCTGCTCAGCCACAAGCCAGGCTGACGGCTGCCAGTAAGCGGTGGTGATGGGAGCCTCTCTCGCCTCCTCAGCAGCGCTAAGGGTGTCCGACTGCAGCTAGGCCTGCTCCCCGCTGGCAAATGGACATCCCCCAAGGGCTCCCAGGCTGCCAGAGGGATGTCTGACAGCCATCTTAGGCCCAATCCCCCAGGAAGCGGACCTAAGCCAGCAGGTGGTCATCCTCCAAGGGGTCCCAGACTGCGAGAGGGCACAGGCCGGGCTGAGGGACCCTTCCAAGTGCACAAATTTTTGTGCACCGGGCCTCTAGTCTATATAATAAAAGCCTAAGCAACCATTAAGGCAGAACGACCAGTCGCTATAATGTGCACTGACCACCAGGGGGCAGACACTCAACACAGGAGCTGCCTTCTGGTGGTCAGTGCACTCCCACAGGGGAAGCACCACTCAGCCAGAAGCTGGGCTCACAGCTAGCGAGCGCAGTAGAGGTGGCAGGAGCCTCTCCCGCCTCTGTGGCAGCGCTAAGGAGCAGGGCGCTGAGCAGTAAGGAGCAGCAAGCAGGTAGTGGTTAAGGAACAAGGGGTCCTGGACTGTGAGAGGGCACAGGCCGGGCTGAGGGATCATGTTGTGCACTGGGCCTCTCTCTCTCTCTCTCTCTCTCTCTCTCTCTCTATATATATATATATATATATATATATATATATATATATATAAAGATGACTGAAGAGTGTTCATCAAACTATTGACAATGGTTACCTCTGGAAAAAGAAATGAGAGAGGGACTTTTTTGCTGTGTAAACTTCTAAATATTTTACAGCAAAAATGTATCCACGCACCAAAACACATTCCAGGACTGTTGGCTGTCATACCATCTGTAATCCTGGATTATAGACTATTTAAACTAATTATTATTTTAATATTATAATCTTGAATGAATAATTTTATGATAAATAGTATAGTGGCTGACAAAAATAAAACAAATCTATAATACCTACACAAAACAAAAACTGACACCCAGGGTTTTCTTTATTAAACCTGTCACTTTTCAATGCTGGGATTACTGAAATTGAGTTGCTCTGACGTTTCCAGATACTCTCCCACCTGGAGATTATACTTGGCATCAACTCTAACAGTCTCTCTGGTTCCTCTGATAATTCACCCTTGCAAGCAGATCCCACCTCTAGAAGGATCTCTACATTAGCACTTTGTAAATTCTCCCTTGTTCCACCCCTAAAAATCACTTGGAACAGAAGGCCTCCTACAACTCAGCCTTGCTGAGAGCCAGGTCTCCCGCATTTTAAGCAATTAAGAAAAGCACACTGATTAAGCTGTAGTATGAAGGATGTGCGTCCTTTCCAGGGCAAAATTCTCAAAGTCCGCTGTGTTGGCTCTTCCTCTTTGAAATGGTGGTTAAGCACTGGAAGTGTATAATGAGATAAATTACTTATGAATCTGTGCCTCTCAGCCCCAGGCCACTTCTCTTTCTCTGAGAGAAACTCAAGGATTTTACCCTAATAGCACTGGAACAAAGTCAGGGCTGAGGCAGGCCGACAAAGAGGGAGGCTTCCAACCCGTGGTGGGGCCCTACTGACAGCTCGTTAGAAACTGTCCCTCTCCTGCTCCTCCTTTCATTTCTTCAAGTTACAAAGCCTGACAGAGTTTGATGGGAGAACCAAGGCAATAACATCCCCCGCGGCGACCAAGTCCCTGCTCATCTATCTTTGTTTGACAGATAAGAAGAGTAGATGTCACCTACAAAATGCTTCACTTACCTGAGCCAAGTGTACCAGGACAGCCCTGTCGCCTACAGGACCTTACAAGAGGAATCCAGACAAAGCCCACCAACCACAATTAAGATATCTCTCAAAAGAAAATCATTTTAAGCAGACAATGTGAAAGCCAAATGCCCACTGTAGGTGTCCTCAGAAAAGTGCCTAACATCTAATAGCTCAAAATTACGCTTTGATTTTCAAAAGTCTTTTTTGGGTTATAGTCTCCACCTGGTCTTTGACAGCTGGTGACCATCTAAGATCTGAGAAACCGGTCTGAGGTTCCATGCAGAATATCTGGGCCTCCAGCCTGACCAGAGTGCTAGGAAGGGGAGTGTGACAAAACAACACAAAAACACCTCTCCACCCCAGATGGCAGCTGGGACACACTGGTATCTCAACAGTCTGTCCGTGGCGCTCTGATTTTAGCATACCACAGAAAAGGCTGTGAAGCTTATTTAGAATGCGGATTCTGATTCAGTAGGTCTGGAGTAGGAGCAAGGACTCTGCATTTTAACAAACTCTACGTGATTTTTGGAAGTCGGTGATCCCACTTTGAGAAGCACTGCTGCTACCTGCTGCTGCTTGGGGCAGGGCCTCCAGCAAAGACTCTTAATGGCATTTACAGCATATCCCTTAGCAGGAGTTCCCTCAACAAGCCCAGGACCAGTTCTCAGCAGCTGTTCCTGTTAGAGTCTCTAGGATTGTCCTGGAGGTCACAATTGTCTCAGAGGCTACTTGCAGCAGCAGAGGCATCTCCCAGAGACCAATATCTCAGAGCCCTTTCTAGAAGGCAACTCCAACATAGTCCTGCTGAGCCCAATGCTGCTACATGGTCATAGTAGCTGTTGATTTTAACCACTTTCTTTTTTATTAGATCACAGGTTCTTAAACCTTGGTATGCATCAGAATCACCAGGGGAGCTTGATAAAGTCCATGGACCTAGGCCCCATCCCAGAACCACCTAGATATAGAGGCAGTTGATCAGTAGTTTAACCTGCTACCAGACGATGCTGATGCACACCAAAGTTTGAGAACTTACCATCTAGAACAAAAGCAACATAGAAACACTGTTTAAAGTCCAACTACAGTATTGCAAAAACTGAAATCTTACTTTCCCTAATAAGTCTCCACCCAAGTGCTCAAATACGTTCCTAGAGGGAAAAGCTACTAGACTAGCCAACTTACTAAGTGCAGCTATTCTGTGGTTTAATAAAATCTATATTCAGAAGTCTAAACTTTTAAAATTAGAGATTTTTTATCAGCGCAAAAAAATTAAAGCAATAATAAATATTTACTATGTTCTTATTATGTGCCAGGTACTGCTCTAAGCATTTTTGTGTTAAAATGGTTGATGTTTATTGAGCACTTGCATTGTAATGAAAAAGATTATTTCAGTTAGTCCTTCACTTCCTCTACGCATTTTAGATAATAGATAAGGAAACTGAGGCATAAATAAGTTAATTTACTTGCCAAAAGTTGCATGAATGTTAAGCAGTAGAGTCCAATTCTTAACCATTATGTCACCTCACTCATATTAATAACAAACAATAGTGCTTTATTCAACAAATATCTAAGGCTATTAAGTGCCAGTATTGGGGATTCTGTTCTAAGTATACAGAGACAAACAGGACAAATGGGCTCCCTGCTTTTATAGGGCTCATGATCTAGCGAGCAATCCAAATGTGTAAACAAGTCATTCAATGCAGTGAGGAGTGCAGTACCAAACCAGGAGGAGCAAGGAGGGTTTCTCAGAAAAACTGAGGTGTAAGATGAGATCTAAGGATGAGCGTGAGTTAACCAAGAAGTCTGAGAAGGAGAAGAGAAGGAGAAAGGAGTTGAAGGCTAAGGAGATGGTAGTTACACGGCAAAGGCCCAGAGTTCAGAGAGCACATAACACAGTTAAAGAAATGAAAAATGATTTGGTAGCCTGGAGCAGAAAGAGAAGAGGAAATGTGTGAGTGATGAGATCAGAAAGATGAACTACAACCAGATTTAAAGAACCATGTAAAACATGTTATAGGGTTTTAGCATTTGGTAAATGGAGATCCATTAAAAGACATTAGGCAGAGCGCATAGCTGAGGAGAGAGATTGGCCTGGTCCATTGGCTTGTATGTCATGGGCATTGGTGGTCACTGAAACCATGAAAAGAAAATATTACCCAAGGAAGGAGAAGAGGGCCCTCAGCAGCCTTGGGAACATCAACATTTCAGGGTTGGAAAGAGAAAGAGGAGCCCCCAAAAGAGACAAGAGGTAGGAGGAAAAATTAAAGGTGACATATAGTAAGTCCTTACTTAAGGTTTTTGATAGGTTCCACGACTTTAAGTGAAACAACATGTAATGAAACTGATTTTACCATAAGCTAGTCGATATAAAAAGGAGTTGGGTTTTTTTTCTTCTGAATGAAGCCACATTATTTGAGGATCTGCTGTAATTTGCTCAAGATTGCAAAGCTAGTGACAAACTTTGAATTCAAAATGTGTCTATCATTCCAAAGTCACTTAACTTCAACAGCTCTTATTGTTTTCCCTTACTGCCTAAAATGGTTGATATAAAAATTGTATTTAGAGATATTTTTTTTCAGGAGCTCATTTACGGTATACAACAAAATTTTGTCAAGGAATTTGTTCAATGCACCCTTGAGTTGCATTAAGGAAGCAAGCTCATGAAACATGCTTCTAGCTGCCTCCTCATCTCTTTCCTTCTGCATCCTGCCATATCTTTGGTTTAAATATGCTTGTTCTACTGAAGAGTGTCTCCTAAGACAGAGCTGTCCCCATACATAGTCCATTGGAAAAGTGGAATTTCTCTTCAGAAGTTCTCCCATGTGGCCCAAGGGCGCTTATACAAATCCAGGAACCACTCTATGTATCCATAATTCTCCAAGAAGCAACCCAAACATTAGTAATGATCTTTTTCCATATAACATGTGTGTCTTTTCCAAAAGACAGATTAGTGAAAACTATGGCTGCTTTTGTTACCTATTTGTTGTTTTATTAAAGCAAGAAATGCTTGTTGTAAATGTATATGTATATGTACATGTATATGTATATGTATATAATTAAGTGCAGGATATATAACAGTTTGGAAGTTACCAAGTAAAAACAAACTATTAAATTATTCTGTCTCCCCGACCCTATTGCCCATAACTCCAAATAGTATTTCCCAAATTGTAATATATACAATTTTGTATATACCCTTACATGCATTTTTCTATACACATATAAATATACATTTTTAATGAAAAGGATCATATTATCTGTACTATTATGAGACTCACTTCTTAAACTATGTAGTGGCCAACTCTTTATGTCAGTGTATAGTTTTATCTGTGTTATTCTTTCCACATACCAGTCCACCATATGAAGGTACGATTATTTAACCGTCCTCTAACCAGTCCATTGGTATTGTTTCTGGGCTATTTTGGGAGGGGGGCACTCTTATTCTACAGAGTGTAAGGGATCCAGAAGCATGTTGCTTGGACTCAGTTTTGGACTGGGCCTTTTCTGTCCTTACCTTTCCTCCCTTTTTGAGATTGTTGGATGTCTCTTCCTGCTGTTCGCTCTAATCTTGCCACTAGTCAGTTTAAGGTATGTTTGTTGCTTTAAAGATCTCCTTACAGAGTCTAGGATTCTTTGGAGGAGGTAAGTTCAACAAATAAACAAATTATTGTCCTAACTTTACATTCTTATTCTAGAGCATTTCAGAGGCACTGGAAGAAGTTCCCTTGTTATCTGGGAATCAGCTTTAAAACCTCACCATGTTTGAGCTGTGTTTTTCATCTCCTTTTAAAAAGCATCCTAGCTAGAGATTGACTGGATATATTTAAGTAGAAGGCATGTCCTATAACTTCAAAGTTTACTGTCTCCTACAGTCTGGTGGGAGGCAAAATTAGCATTAGGGAAACAATTAGAGAGCAGCTGAGTGCTAAATTATGTGTTACAAGCCCTGGGTACCAGGAGCTCAGGGAAGAGAGGCCTAGGAGGCAGTCCGTGCCTCCAAGGAGAAGGTAGAACTTGAGCTGGGTTAGGAAGCAGGAGGTAAAATTTAAAAAGTCTACCAGGTAGGCAGAAGGTGGAAGGTTTTTCAAGTACCTGGTAACTTTTCAGGCCTTTTTATTATCTGACATTTTTGGTTTTTATTTAGGGTCTGCCTACCCCCATGAGAACATAAGCTTCATGAAGGCTTGTTGACTACTGACTCCCCAGGTCCTGGTACATAGTCAGTGGTCAATGGATATATCAATGAATCAATGAACCAATGAACAAATGATCATGGGGTGTGTGAGGAATAGTGAGAAGACTGGCCTCTTTGAAAAGAAGTGTCTCTCCTCGAGAAATGGGGAACTCTCCAACAGACTACCAGAGGGGCAGCTAATTGGGCCTTTGTGAGATTCAAAACACAGGGGCAGGTAGAACCAGCTGATTAGGGAATGGGAGCCCCTGACAATTGCCAAGGTGAACCCTGTATGGAGTGCAATATAAGCTAAAGCCCAGACAAGTAAGACAGAATTGTTATGTACAGCCATCTGAACTTTGTGCTTGGTCAGCAAATAGTTATATTAAAATAAAATAAAGAAGACTGATTTATCTTGTCCTTTCTTTGTTAAGAACAATGCCTGGCCAGAGTGGCTCAGTTGGTTGCCAGTTTGATCACCAATCAGGGCACATACCTGGGTTATGGGTTGGATCACTGGTTGGAGCATGTACCAAAGGCAACTGATCTATATTTCTCTCTCTCTCTCTCTCTCTCTCTCTCTCTATATATATATATATATATATATATATATATATATATATATATATATATATATGTTGTCCTTGGGTGAGGACAAAAAATAAAAAGAAGAACATAGTAAAATGTTAGTGTTATCACAATACTTTTATTAACACCTACTATACTTGTATTTATTATTTAAGCAGATGGGTTCATTGTTGTCTCACATTGAATCAGTTGACTGAAAAATGTTTGGTATGGTTTGGTTTGGTTTTTCTACATAAACTTGTTTGGTAGATCTTTCCATCCTATGCTTGTACAGTTGATTATTGGACCTAAATGCAGTGCTTCACATTCCTGGCGCAGCCCATCTCATTGATTTTAGACCATCTTTCACCTCACGGAAT